AGGCTGCTTCAACCTGCAGTGGAATCTCACTATACTGCCATGATACTAAACAATAACGCCACTACAATATACACTCCATTACTCGCCTTTGCATTACTGCTCTTGGTTGGCTTGGACCCTACTGGCACAGACCCTCTCCTTCACTGGCCTGGAATGGTAGGGGTCAAGGAAACTAGAAGTTACTTTAACATTCTGTGGGATTTAAGAATGGGAGTATGGCTTACATGTACATTAGGCAGCAGCCATGACAGTTGCATCACTATATTCCTGTTATGACTGTCCAGAGGTGGTAGGAGTTATACTGCTAACATATTTCAGAAAAAGCATTTTAGATGGTAGAGGAAATCCACAATCCTGAGGCAATCCATTACGAGTATGCCCTTGTTCATTGGGCATTAAACTGCAGTATGGTTATATCACAAAACTGTGCCATAAAAGATTTTAAATATTATTCTGCATATTAAAAAAAAAAATCATGTCATAAATAGAGAATACATAATAATGTAGTGTGCATTGTGGGAAAATAATGCCATCTTGGGATATGCCTTGTAAAAGGACACTCTAATTTAAACTAACATAGTGATAAAAGTCATGAATGAAATCTTAATAATTAAGCTATCTATCCATTACACTGAATAAAGCAATCTGGTTTATGACCCACTCACCACCAACCTGTATTTTGTCCAGAGATAGAAGGAAACAGGACAGGTTTTCGAGACATTGTAATAAAGCAAGAGAGGAAGGTCATGTGGTTTATAAATGACTCCAGAACCCCAAGATGACATTATATTCCCATAGTATATACTGCTGTTTATGTCTCCTTTACTTGATCCATCCACTGCGGGGCTGAGGTCAGGATTGCTAACAAAAGCTCCTTATAGGAGCTTCTGGGATCTCAAGGGAAAGTCTCCCAGTGGATCCCAGGAGATAAGTTGTCAAACCATTTGAAAACAGTTTTACAAACTACAATGGAGAGTGTAAGGGCTGCAGTGGTTATGGTCCTTGGAGTGTCTATGAAAATGCATACAACTGCTTAACTACACAATCGATATTTAGCGCTCATCTAGATATCTAGAATCCTTATATACAATACTCTGCAAACAGTTCCATTCATGAGCAAAACATAATTTAATATAATACATATATTATGTATAAATGAAAAATATCTGTAAAATGCACACTATAGATATGAGAACAATGGGACATTTGCAGAAAAATAGGGATATTCAGAAATAATTATCTTTTTATCTCCATAATAAAATAAAAGAAGGGTTTCGTCCCAGGCTGGTATGGATTAAACATACCTAATATATAACAGTAGGACATTCTACATAAATAATTTGTATGTTTAGTTCATACTGATTACCATAGTTTGCACTATGCCGTTATACACAGTCTATTCTAAATTCCACAAAATCAACCATGTATATTTACAAGAAAGATAACTCTAGATATTGCAGTATAAAAAAACCTCATAATCTATAAAACATTGCCTGAGCAGTAGTATGAAATTAATGAGATTCATTTATTTGAATAATGAGCTCTGTTGACTACTGTTGCCAATGGATTAATGAAATCTTTTGTCGAATTCAGTTGGTCATCAAAGGAAATTACCAACTAAATGAAATCTTCTTGCAAATGAATGAAATCACCAAAATGAATACATATATTATGTATTTGAAGATTCTACTTTTGGAATGATACCTTCATAATAATTGACTTATGGCCCAATTGTCTATTGAAATAGTCAATTAATCACATCTGGTATCGCTCGATGCAATCCTATCCTTGCACAGCTTTTGCTCAGAGATATTCTGAAAGCAGTGTTTTCTGCATGTAATATGCTCCTAGATTTAAGAACCTATATGCAAAAATTCTGGACACAAATAATGGCAGATGTTAAAGGGACACTCAATTAAGTGGTCTGGGTGCCAGGTCCCCCAGGTTTTAACCCTTCAGATGTAAATATAGCAGGGTTAATCCAACCTCTAGTGGCTGTCTTCCTGACAGCCGCTAAAGGCGCATCTGCGATGCAGGATGCGAAATTCGCATCCAGCGTGCAGAACGTCCATAGGAAAGCATTGAGAAATGCTTTCCTATGGACTGTTTTGAATGCGCTCCACTCGGGAGCTGACGTCGTTGGGGAAGGAGAGGTCACCATCACCGAGGGAGCCCAGCGCTGGATTAAAGTTTTAACCCCTTCAGTGCCAAAGGAGGGGGACCCTGAGGGTGGGGGCACCCTTAGGGCACTATAGTGTCAGGAAAACGGGTTTGTTTAACATTAGCAATGTAGACATGACTAGGAAGCAAATGTTGGGTGTCCAAAGCATTGATGTGATCTTTGAGCCAGGTGAAAGGTGCATAGATCAACCCTGTTTTATTATTATTATTGCCATTTATATAGCGCCAACAGATTCCGTAGCGCTTGTTTTACTTTTCTTATGTTTTAGTCACCCTGTACCCATTATAGGTGCAGGGTGTGTGTAATGTATTGTTTATATTGTGTGTGTGTGTGTGTGTGTGTGTGTGTATACTGTTAAATGTATTGCCTGCTCTCCTGTACTGCTAAAGGATTGTTACAAACTAGGTAGATTTGGCTATGGAGCTTGTGTAGTGCCCTCTGTTGGTAGCAACAGCAATATGCACTACCTGAATAGAAAGGCTGGTTAATTTGCATATTCGGGTAGATTTGCATATTGCTTATTCTGCAAGCAGGAGAGATATTTTCTGTTAATTGTTGTCTTCCTTACCCATTTATAATTATGTCATTGTGTTATAATAAGTTGCTGTATGTTATCTGCTATGATTTGACTGTTTGTATTTTTATTGAGTTTTCACAGCAATGTTTATGTAATGATCATTTGGGCTAGTCCCAAGTAAAATATTGTATATTAGTTCCCTTTGGAACTTGTACTCTGTGTGGATTTGTGTCTCTAAAAAGACTCCTGGAAAGAGCTAGAGACCTGCAAAGGCAAGTTAAATGGGGGTAAGAGTAGGACAAGTGCCCTGGATAGAGAAATCACTTAAAATAACATAAAAATTAAAACTACAGCTGAGCTATAAAATACCACTAGATGGAATCTTTGATTTTAACTTTGGAAGAACATAAAGCAAAATCTAAAGCATGGCTGTCAGGAAGATCACCAGAATTATCCATTTGAGAGAGGGTTGGAGTGCAGGGTATTCTCTTTCATTGTTCAAACTGAGCTCATCTCCTGAAAAGGCCTTCAAAAGCATCTGCTATTGTGTACATAGTTTATACTAAGTGACCCTTAGGTTGAGGAGGCGGTGACCGTGGCGGTGTAGGTGGAAACAGCGGTGGAAGAGAAACATAGAATGTGTCGGCAGATAAGAACCATTCGGCCCATCTAGTCTGCCCAATTTTCTAAATACTTTAATTAGTCCCTAGCCTTATCTTATAGTTAGGATAGCCTTATGCCTATCCCACACATGCTTAAACTCCTTTACTGTGTTAACCTCTACCACTTCAGCTGGAAGGCTATTCCATGCATCCACTACCCTCTCAGTACAGTAATACTTCCTGATATTATTTTTAAACCTTTGTCCCTCTAATTTAAGACTATGTCCTCTTGTTGTGGTAGTTTTTCTTCTTTTAAATATAGTCTCCTCCTTTACTGTGTTGATTCCCTTTATATATTTAAATGTTTCTATCATATCCCCCCTGTCTCGTCTTTCCTCCAAGCTATACATGTTAAGATCCTTTAACCTTTCCTGGTAAGTTTTATCCCGCAATCCATGAACCAGTTTAGTAGCCCTTCTCTGAACCCTCTCTAAGGTATCAATATCCTTCTGAAGATACGGTCTCCAGTACTGTGTACAATACTCCAAGTGAGGTCTCACCAGTGTTCTGTACAATGGCATGAGTACTTCCCTCTTTCTACTGCTAATACCTCTCCCTATACAACCAAGCATTCTGCTAGCATTTCCTGCTGCTCTATTACATTGTCTGCCTACCTTTAAGTCATCAGAAATAATCACCCCTAAATCCCTTTCCTCAAATGTTGAGGTTAGGAGTCTACCAAATATTTTGTACTCTGCCCTTGGGTTTTTACGTCCAAGATGCATTATCTTGCACTTATCCACATTAAATGTCAGTTGCCACAATTCTGACCATTTTTCTAGTTTACCTAAATCATTTGCCATTTGGCTTATCCCTCCTGGAACATCAACCTTGTTACATATCTTAGTATCATCAGCAAAAAGACATACCTTACCATCAAGACCTTCTGCAATATCAATAGAAAAAATATTAAAGAGAATGGGTCCAAGTACAGATCCCTGAGGTACACCACTGGTGACAAGTCCAAGATTCGAATATATTCCATTAACTACAACCCTCTGTTGCCTGTCACTGAGCCACTGCCTTACCCATTCAACAATATTGGAATCCAAACTTAAAGATTACAGTTTATTGATAAGCCTTCTATGTGCAACAGTGTCAAAAGCCTTACTGAAATCTAGGTAAGCAATGTCTATTGCACCACCCTGATCTATAATTTTAGTTACCCAATCAAAAAAAGAGGAGGAGGTAGCCAACACTGTTTTTTATTTGTTTGTTTTTTTGTTTTTAGTTGGGGTAGCCCCCAAAATATTGGGACATATAAAAAAAAGAAACATTTGCGGCCTGCGGTGCATTTCTTGCAGTCCTGATGCATGGAGAAATGCTCAACTGCTGACACATGGAAAAAAAGGCCTTCACAAGCCTCTGCTAATGTGTACCTAGTTCATACTAAGTGACCCATAGGTTGAGGAGGCGGTGACCGTGGCGGTGTAGGTGGAAGCAGTGGTGGAGGAGGAGGATGAGGTAGCCAACACTATTATTCATGGTTTTTTTTGTTGTAATTGTGGTAGCCCACAAAATATTGGGACATACAACAAAATAAACATTTGCGGCCTGTGGTGCAGTCCTGATGCATGGAGAAATGCTCAACTCCTGATGCACGGAGAAAAGGCCTTCACAAGCCTCTGCTAATGTGTACCTAGTTTATACTAAGTGACCCATAGGATGAGGTGGCGGAGGAGGATGAGGTAGCCAACACTGTTTATATATATATATATATATATATATATATATATATATATTAATTGGGGTAGCCCCCAAAATATTGAGACATATAAAAAAAGACAACTCTGTTCCGCAGAGTAGCTGTTGACATTATAGTTGCGCAGGAACTTTGTTGACTCTAGAGAACCTCAGACAAATTGCACATCCCCGTGGCGGCGACTTTGCATGCGGATGTCATCCATATAAACTTTTGATGCCAGTTTCTGCGCCTACCATGGTGACCACGGGTAACAGGGAACCAGGGTTCCATTCCGTACAGGGACCCTGAGAAACGGCTATCACAGGCAAGGAAGGCAGCAGGCGCGCAAACTTTGCAGTTCGAGTTTGCTAAACTCTATTATGGATCCTTTGATCGCTACATGTATTACTTGGATAACTGGTAATTCTCAAGCTAATACATGCCAACGAGCACTAGGGGACGGCTGCTCTGCTTTTGCACCCTGCTCCCTCTTATGCTGTGCTGGTGCCTCTGTGAGACCAGCGCCTCTTCCTCCAAACTGCACACGTCACTCGCATGACCTTGATTCCATGTGGGGTCTAGGACCTCATCATCCTCCACATCATCTTCCACCCACTCCTCAACCCTGCCCTCCTTGCCGGTATGCACACTGCAAAAAGCCACAGCAGTTGGCACCTGTGTTTTTCCAGCATGTGACTTCTGTAAAGGACATGTGGAAATTGTTTTAGAATTTCCTCCAGGCAACAGTTTTCCCCTATAAACTAAACTCTCAGTTTGACTTGTGAGGGTATTGCCCCAGAATTACATTATTGTTGAAGTACCTCTTAGCTATTGATCACTGGTTTAAATATAGCAGCTTGTTATCTGGTAGTTTCTAGTGTAGAAAATATCAATCTGTTTTCTATCACTTAGATCTGTGTAACTAGTGTTGTAGGTGTGAAACAATATTACAAGTGACCGATGTAGTAAATTCATATCAAAGTTACGCTTCGATTTGACTCTCAGATATGAAGTGAACACCCCAAATATACTATTTAGCACCAAAATAAAATAAAAATAATAAATGTACTTTTTAAAACTCCAATGTAAGAAGCAGATTAGCAGCAAAACAATTAGAATGTTTACAATTGCGCAGTAAACACACTATTAGACTCTTCTATTTGACTCTCAGATATGAAGAGCAGGCCACAAAATTTACTATTTAGCAGACTAGCACCCAGAAAATAAGAATGTTTACCACTGCCCTGTAAGCGCACTATTAGACGCTTCTATTTGACTCTCAGATATGAAGCGCACGCCCCAAAATGTACTATTTAGCAGATTATCACCCAGAAAATATGAATGTTTACCACTGCGCTGTAAGCACACTATTAGACGCTTCTATTTGACTCTCAGATATGAAGCGCACGCCCCAAAATGTACTATTTAGCAGATTATCACCCAGAAAATACGAATGTTTACCACTGCGCTGTAAGCACACTATTAGACACTTCTATTTGACTCTCAGATATGTAGTGCACCCCACTAAAATACTATTTAGCAGTCTAGAACCCAAATAATTTAAAGTTTTAAAACTGCAATGTGGCAGCAGTATTTGACGCTTATATTTGACTCTCAGATTTGAAGTGCACCCCACTAATATACTTTATAGCACCCAAAAAATTTTAAGTTCTAAAACTGCAATGTGGCAGCAGTATTTGACGATTCTATTTGACTCTCAGATATGAAGTGCACCCCACTAATGTACTACCCCACTAATGTACTATTTAGCACCAAAAATAATTACTTTTTAAAACTCTGATGTAACTGCGGTATTTGAAGCTTCTATTTGACTCTCAGACAGAGGCGGCTCTAGACTTTATGAGGCGAAACTCAAACATGAGGCCCCACTAACAAAAAAGTGTCACATATACACATTGATGCACAGTTTACCTGTGTATGTGCCTGAGAGTGTGTCTGACAGAGAGTATCCTTGTGTGTGAATGTATGTCTCTGTGAGCATGCTTGCGTTTTTGTCTGAGACCCTATGTGTATGGGGTAGTTGCTTGAAGTGTGCTGTGTGGGGGAGGTGATGGTGAGAGGGGGTGATGGTGACAGGGAGGTGATGGTGTGGGGGGTGATGGTAATGTGAGACTGGTGATGGTAATGTGAGAGTGAGGGGGTAACGGAGAAGGAGAGGGGGGGTAATGTGAGAAGGAGGAGGGGGTAATGAGAAGGAGGAGGGGTAAATGTGAGGAGGAGGGCGGTAATGTGGAGAAGGGAGGAGGGGGGGACGTGAGAAGGGGGGTAATGTGAGAAGTGGAGGAGGGTAAATGTGAGAAGGAGGAGGGGGAAATGTAGAAGGAGGAGGGGGTAATATGAGAAGGGGGGGTAATGTGAGAAGGAGGAGGGTAATGTGAGAAGGAAGAGGGTGTGGCGAAACCGGCCTCGCCACGTGTCCTTGGAGGGGGCTGCTTGCCCGCCTCTTGCCTTTGGACTATGGACCAGACTTTATGTGAATGTGTTAACCCAGATAGCTATGCCATGGAGCCCATTCGTGTAGTTAAAGACTTCGGCTCCATGGCAATTGAACTGTGTGAATAGGATCTGAGCGCTATTCGGTAGTTTTGTGCGCTCAGATCCCAGCTATCTGGGGATATGTGAAATGTCTGTGTCTTATGTGTAAAAGGTGACTTTATGTATTTTAAAGTGTTTTGTGTGTTTTTGCAACCATGTGCTTAATGGAGTCTTGTGTCTGTCCTGGGAGATAATTGAATTACTCTCCAGTCATTTAGTCACAAAGGACTTTCCTTAACTTTTGAACCCTAAATTCTGATTCGTGCCATTTTAATATGTTGTTCCCTGGTGGTTGATTATGAAAATGTATGTTTTATGTTTGTGACATGTATATTTTTAGAAATTTATAAATGTTATTGTAAAAGCTGTATTCCTCTCTGCCGGTGATAATGAGATTACCCATTGTGTTCAGTAATCATATCACATGCAGAGGGGAGGATTTTGTGTGGGAGTGTCTGGGTGTATTGTACGGATTGATTGGTTGTTTTGTAACGCCCTGTGGGCTGTACTATGTTTGTGGATTGGGAATAAAGGAGACTGTATGTGACAGTACAGGGAGTTCCTGTTTTAACCCTCAAAGTGAAGTGTCGTCTCATTATTGGGGGAAGGATTTATTGTATGCTGTTCCAGTTTGACTGCTAGGAGAGTAAACCTATTCGTATGGTTCCTATTCAACTGTCTACAGCATTCATATGCTTGAGAGGATTCATATGCTTCTCGGTTCGGTTTGGTGGTTGTGGTGTCTGCTGCAGTGCTTGGAGTCCTCAGGAGGCGCTAGGAGCATCCTTTAACGGAGGTACCCAGTCGGGGTGCCAGGCGGTCGTTACAAACACTAATTAACATGATAACACTCTCACATACACAATGAAATCCCTCCTCTCCATCCTGGAGATAATTGGCTTAAGGCACTGCAGTAAACTCAATTATCTCCAGGTACAGAAAATATCTACATTTAACATTAACAGCAAAATACGTAAAAGTACATAAAAATACATAATTCTTATTTTATTACACAGAACCCCCACATTTAACCTATCCCCAGATAGCTCGGATCTGAGCGCCCAATCTAGGTGAACAATAGACAGGAAATGGGGGAGGGGAAGAAACACACCTTCCCATGGATTCCAATGGGAAGAAACTGTCTTTAGAAGCCAATAAGCCCCAAATAGTCTTTTTTAAATGGCAATACACCCCAGGACCATAGTCATGAGGAAGGAGGCTGGCAATCAGGCTCCTCCAAAAGCCGGGGGCAAAGGGCAGCTTGTCACCTAACAATCCAGGGACAAAAAGCATGTCGTCACACATCTCCCCTTTGGGGGGGGAGACTAACCAGGTACCTGACCTGTCGGTCAGTGCCTGAGTTAGTCGATAAACCCACCCACAGTGAACATGTACATGAGTAGCCCACCCACAAATAACAGTACTGGCCGGTAGGTTCCAGGTTATAGGATAAAAATGCAGCATCCTCGGCCTTCCTGGTGCAGCTGGGCAAATAGCTGGTGGTACTTGGGGGGCAAAGGCCAGCGGCGCTCTGCCCTGATGTCAGCTCTTGCGCTGGGATAGCCGGCAGAATGTCAAGCTCTGTACAAGGGTCAAAGGGAGGACAGAGGCCGACTGCACTCTGTCCACCTGTCAGCTCTTCTGCTGGGGTGCTGGGAACATAGTCCGGCTCAGTAGCCAGGGGAACATGGGAGTCAGTGGGGGTTACCATCTCCTCTGTTAACCCTGGGGCCAAGTTAGGAGTTAGCTGGGGAGGGGAATTCGTACTTACCCCCTCCTCCTGTTGTCCCTGTGAGGGTAGTTGGGGATCTGGACAGGCTGTCCAGCATCCCTGTAGGTCGGGCACGGAGACCACGGTCCCCTCTGTGCCATCTGGGAGAATGGTGTCTCCCCTTCTTAGGGTAAGCTGCCGCTGGGGAGATAGGGTGCTGTGCTCCTCTCCCTGAAACACAGTCTGCTGCTGGAGAGAGAGACCAACTGTCTCTGCTCCCGGTAGGACACACTGCTGCTGGGGGGGAAGGACAACACCTTCGGCCCCCTGGAATTCACACTGCCGCTGGGGAGGAAGGGCGACACCTTCGGCTCCCTGTAATTCACACTGCTGCTGGGGAGAGAGACCGGTTGTCTCTTCTCCCTTGTCAACACACTGCCGCTGGGGAGTCAGACCGACTGTCTCGACTCCCAGTGATGATGGTTGCTGCAGGGACGAGGGACCGACAATCTCCTCTCCCTGGGATGCTGTCTGCCGCTGGGGAGAGAGACCGGTTGTCTCTTCTCCCTTGACAACACACTGCCGCTGGGGAGTCAGAGCGACTGTCTCAACTCCCAGTGATGATGGTTGTTGCAGGGACGAGGGACCGACAATCTCCTCTCCCTGGGATGCTGTCTGCCGATGGGGAGAGAGATCAATTGGCCACAGCCCCAATCTCCGCAATCGGAGCTCAAATTCCCATGCCGCTCGATTCTCCTCATCCAACTTGCGCATGGTTGCCAGAATTGCCTCTGTCGAAAGATTCGGGCCATATCTGGTTAACCGCCTCTTGACCTCCTCCCTGTAAGCGTCGCCCTCAAAGCGATAGGTCATGTTTGCTGTGAACAGGGGCGCTGTACGAATACTAGCGTTGCCCTCAAATTGTAATGCCAAATGTTACCGGTGCCTCTGCGCTGCTTCTCCTCGCACTAGGACGCCATCCCACCGCTGCCACCACTGTAACGGAACCGCTGGCACCCCGACCGGGTACCTTCCGCCGACGGATGCTCCTAGTGCTTTCCGAGGACTCCA